ATTTGGAACACTAGTTCATAGTTCCTTAGTTTCTCACAGTGTCAACCAGAAGCCACTCTTCAAGCTGGTAATCATTCCACATATAAATCATGAAACTGCACCCCTGATTCAGATACAGGTAAAGATGTGTTAAGAAAATTTCACAGAATTGGAATGCTAAGGTCGGTTTCGATCCACATTTTTTCATTAATTTCAAACTTTTGCCTAATGTTAAGTGCGTACTAATAAAAAAAAATTTCATTGCAAAATTTTAGCATGATATTGCCATATTGCCCATTAATCCTGTCACTAACCCAACCAAGATGTCACATTTTAAAAGATATAAATTAACGCAAATAATCTCATTTAGAACTTTGAGAAAACAATAAATTTCTAAGATAGAAGAATGGAATGCGTTTAGTTGGCATTTGTTATTAGAGTCAAAAGAATAGACATAAGGCGTTCACTTATTATCAAATACCGTAAAAGTTCATATATTAGATCCCCTGAAATAGTATGAATCAGACCCGGGTCTATAATATAGATGGAGATTTTGGTGGAATGTAGAAGATCCAGGTATACTGTAAGGAACAACAATTAAAAAACCCGGGTATTATATTAGATCATTATATATATTGTATGAATTTAGTGAATTTTCACATAAATGCCTTTTCCGATTATCAAACCAATGTCTGAACAATAGACCCCTGGATCTCATATATGAACTTTTACGGTATTTTCTAAAATGGACAACGTTGATAAAACAAACACTCTTGGAGATCGTGATCAGAACTTCGGCCTCTATAGTAAATCAAATATTACTGGTAGGTATTAAATGTTAGCAGTTAATAAATAATGCGAATAAAAGAGGTAAATGATCACTGAATTATATTGGCAAAGGAAAAAATTGTACAGCTTTATCGTTATATTCTTTTGTATTTCATGGATTAGCCTGTAGGTTGACCTACAGATTAATATCCACCTAATCCACCCGATCATATAACTGTTTAAACCAAAATCATTAATCAGTCGGTTAGAGTAAAAACACAGGCAAAAAACAATCTTATAACTTATCTTTAAAGTTATAAAGCTACAATTGATTATTAGTTTTACAGTTTTGTTTGCATGAAGTATATGCAGTGCTGGTCATTCTTATAAGTCCAGTAATTTGAAATAAAATCAGAATCTATAGGTTTCAGCTTATAAGTCTAATAAAACAAGGTTGGCCCGACTATTTAACATCTGGTATGCGAAATCTAAAGATTATCTATCATACTATATATATACGTATATTATGTAAGCAAAAGTTTATTATGTACAGTATAGCGTTTACAGATTTTACTTAACGAAAGCGGGTTTTACATATATAAGAAAAAAAAAGCAGATTTATCTAACTAAAGACAGGTTTTATATATATAAAAAAGCAAAAAAGCAGATTTTATCTAATTAAAAGCGGGTTTATACAAATACTTTTAACAAAAGCGGATTTTACCTATTCTAATTAATAAACTCAGATTTTACATGATCATCTCAGATTTTACATGATGTAATCTACGAACACAGGTTTTACCGGTTGGCAACTCAGATTTCACCCTGTCGTTTGATAATAGTTATATGTTTGGTTCATCCAGTAATAATAATAATAGTGATAATGATTATGATTCTTTAATGTATAGTTAGAAAAAATTATTTGTATATTATATTGTTGTTTAGGCAATATTTTTATGAAATAAAGAGGGTTTTATAGGCTTGCCATTTTTTATTTTAATGTGAATTTTGCAATGCAGTTTGTGATTATTAATTAGTGAAAAAAATAGATTTTTTTTATTAACTTATACTTTTACAGTTACTATTTGGATTGAATTCTGATATTTATTCATCCAACATTTAAGATAATATGTTTTTGTATTGACATAATCACTACTCCTCTACTCACCTTTTATATTATCTCTTTTATGCTCTTTATTACATACAAAACAGGTTTTTGAATAATTAAAATAGTCAACATACTTGTTACTATATTTTAAAGTTAAATAAGAAAATTGCATTTTGATAATATGATTTTGTTTTTTTTCTGAATCAACGAGTAAGACAGAAATTGGGAGTCAGGTTTTATTGAATATATTTTTTTTGGATATAAGCAGTATACTTACCTCAGTTTTAAGTAAATCCTTTTTAGGTTGAGATGCAGATGATATATTTATCTTAGTTTCCAATAAAGTTTTAAGACCTAAAGAATTGTCAAAGATAGTCACTGAGTGGTTAGAAATAGAAGATAAAGAGATAAAAATTGCAGTTAATTTGGTTACTTCAAGTAAGATTTTTCTAGAACCACCGGTTTCAGAAATTTCAGCAATCTCAGATAAAACTTGATGTTTTGCATTAACTATATTGACATTTTGATAAGAATAATTTATAATCTTTTGAATTTGATCATTAGTAAACTTTGAAATAGATCACACTATATTATTTGATGTATTTAATTTTATCTAAGTCTATTGTAAATTTTCTCAGCTTTCTGAGTTTTTTTGTACAAGGCATTCTATAATATTTCTAGATATAAACCCAAATCTTGAGATTTTTTCTTACAGAAAATAGAAAGCTGTTTTGTAATAAAATTATAAAGTAAGCTCCTTGCCTTCTTTTTACTAATTTTATCTCTGTTATTTTTATAATCTTATTAAACTAAACTCTGAGATCCTTTTCATAAATAAACTA